CCATCATCTTTGAGAGGTCCTGGAAGACAGGAGAGGTGCCCGAGGACTGGAGAAAGGCCAATGTCACTCCAATCTTCAAAAAGGGCAAGAAGGAGGACCCAGGGAACTACAGGCCGGTCAGCCTCACCTCCATCCCAGGAAAGGTGATGGAGCAGCTTATCCTGGAGGCCATCATGAAGCAAGTGGAAGAAAAGAAGGTTATCAGGAGTAGTCAGCATGGATTCACCAAGGGGAAATCATGCCTGACCAATCTGATAGCTTTCTACGATGACATGACTGGCTGGGTAGACGAAGGGAGAGCTGTGGATGTTATCTACCTTGACTTCAGCAAGGCTTTCGACACAGTCTCCCATGATATCCTCCTGGGGAAGCTGAGGAAGTGTGGGCTGGATGAGTGGTCGGTGAAGTGGATAGAGAACTGGCTGAATGGCAGAACTCAGAGGGTTGTCATCAGCGGCGCTGAGTCTAGTTGGAGGCTGGTGACAAGTGGTGTCCCTCAGGGGTCAGTACTGGAGTTGTCTCCATTTAACAAACCTTCTTTGGCTGTAACCTTTGCTACTAAAATGAAGCCATGCTTATGGGAAATACTTCTGAATTTCAGGGTATAATTTTAGCCTTTTCTCTGCAGAAAAGGATCAGATGAACAGCATCTGAAGGTGTCAGGATAAAAACATCCAAAGGAGCCATCCAGAGAAACACCAGCATAATTTCTGTTGCCTGCCTGCCTCAGAGGTTGCTGGGATGCTTCAGCACTGCGATTATGGGGTCAAAGCTTGGGTGGATATCCAATGTCTGGAATTATTATTGCTATTTATGGCATCCTATTGGAAATTCAGTGATGCTCAGGTGGCCGTGGTGGGAATTCTTCGCAATATAAAGGAGGTCAGGCAGGAAGACCCAAATGATACCTTCTGGCTCAGCATGTTCAGAGCTGGTGTAATGACTGGGTTGAGACTGTTGTTCCCAAGGTCTGTTGGGATAATCAAGGCTCTGGTCCTGTGCTGCGCGTGATACTGTGCTGTTTGTCTAGGCTGCTGAATCAATAAGCTCTGAAGCCAGCCTTTTGTCGCCCTTGCAAATAACATTTGTTTTACTGCCTGATTTGAAAATGGTTTTGGTTTGGGTGTTTTGATTCGGTTGCGCTAACCGGAAAAACTTCCCTTGCTGACTGATGAGGTGGCTCCTTGGATTCTGTATGTAAAGTTTGGAATTTCATGGACTCTCTCATATATGAAGGAATGCATTAACTACAGGTCAGCAAAGTCTGCTTATTGTGTTGTTTTAGTACAGAGAACTATTATTACCCTGTTGCTTTTAAGGTAGGCTGCTTAAAGGTAATTGTTTAGTCTACCCAAAGCCACGCAGAATGCCAGCGCAGCCTCTGCGTGTTTGCATGAATGAGGCAGCGTAGAGTCACGGTTCGGTGCTAACCTCAGTTTACCCTTGGGATAGCTGGCTGTTGGGGAGTGAAGAGTTTTTCGTAATGTTCTTTTTCTTTTTCACTTGTCAAGGATTGTCATGTGGTTTCCCTGGACTTGTCATTCATTCAAAATTAATTCAAAAAAGATTTTTTTTTCAATTCCCCTTTAGGACTGAAATTCCAGCGTGTTCTATAACAAGCGTAGAAACCATGAGCCTGAGTCTATTTTTACTCTTTGACACAATCCCACGTATTTTCCCACGATAATATTTGTAATCAGTGTGGGAATTTATACCAGGGTTGAGCCCTGAATTGTGTAAAATGCCTTTTTTTTTTTTTTCCTTCTCTTCAGATGGAAAGGCAAAGAGCACACCAGGGGATGGCCTTGTCTGACAGTGAGCCGGGAGGGGAACTCCAGTCCTGACTCGGTACAAATAACCATTGGCCTGGTGCAGCCTCAGGAAGCTCTGCTCTGCTGGGGTGTCGCTGAGAACAGAGGTAGGCAGAAATAAAGCTGTCCAAAATTTTGGGAAGTGGAAGTCTCAATGCTGTTAGAAAGTTGGCCCTACATGACACGTCCATCTTCAGGCTGGAGCATCTGTGGCAGAATCAACAAGTGAATCTAAATCATCAGACTTCCTCCCAATTAAAAAGTAATTGGAGCATCCTGGCCCGTCCTCATAAAACTCAGAAGCCTTGCAGTTACCCAAAGAGGAAAATGAGGAGGGAGGTATTTTTCCAGCCGATGGACATAGCAGGCAATTACTGTCGGCATACCCTGATGCTTTGTCTGCATTGCTCAGCGCTGCTACGTCTAGGAATCCCTTGATATTCAAAGAGTGCCCTAACCAAGTCGGGTTTTCATAATATGGTTATATTATGAAATTGTATTTCACGCCTGAATATTATAGTGTGCACATCCACACTTTCATCATGTATCGGAGTGTAGTTTGCTCTGCTCTGATACCGTGCACCAGAGGATGTCTGCAAATTGAATTCTTTCAGGATGGTTGTCCTAAATAACTCCATGTAGAGAAACCTGTACTGTAGCACAGAGGCACCTCACTCTCCTTTATCATAATCCATTTTAAACATGGATTATGCTGATGCAGAACAGGGCACTCCTATTTTGGAAGAATTTTAAGTAGGAATAGTTTTTGTGCTTTCAGCTCACGCCCTGCATTATCCAAAGCAGCTATCAAGTGTAGACAAGCCTCTAATGTGTCTGTCGTGTTTCCATTCTCGCCCTGGCTCTTCCTTGTTCCCCGACTCTTCCTTTGGGAAGGTCCAGAGCAAAACCAGACCTGCAGAGCCTGTTGTTTAGGTCTTTGCTTTCCCAAAGTTCATACCAAGGGACATTTCCAATGCGATTCCCAATATAAATGCATCCCTCAGCTTTTGAACGGAGTATTAGATGCAAGTTTTTGACTCTGAGCCATCCCCACAAATTATATTAGTATGTAGAATGTTTCCTTTTGTGCTTTTCTAAAAGGGAGATCCCTCTGGAAGCCTGTGGTCCCTTTTGGGACCTTTTGATTATTTCTCTATCATTGGCCTATTCTGCAACCTCCAGAGAAAACTGATGGGTACAACTCTGAGCAAGTTCCAATATAACAAGTGCTGCAATGACTCGCACCCATGTCCGGCTGTGACAAGCAATGGGTGCGTGGGGAGGACTGCAAACACACTAAAATCACCCCTCTTCCATTTTGTGAAAAGCCACGTACACGCCTGCTTCCATGGAACGCCGCGGCTTCTTCCTGGTCTGCTGTCCCTTGCTGTAAACCTGCTGCCTGGCTATTTCATCTGGTGTCCTGCCTCCAGTTTTAGCATCACCATGCCCAGTTTGTATTCTTTTATACTCTTTTTCCCTGCCTGTGTCACACACTGCTCGTGCCTTGTGCAAGTGGTGCAGCCCCAGTCCCGGGGCCGTTCCTGGCAGAGACGTCGGCTCCCACCCACGCCCTCGCTGCCCGCTTTCCTCAGGCTTTGCCGGTAGGGCTGGCTGGGTCTGCAAGTGGCTCTCGGGGTAGAGCGATACCATGCAGGCACCCATATGTCAGGCAGTGTAATCTCTTCTCTGGTTTGTTAGTCCTTTTCTAGCAGCTCCCGTAATTTGTATTTCCAACCTCCTGCGAGTACGCGGTGGCTGTTTGCAGAGTCCTGTCCATAATAATGCCACAAACACAGCAGCTCACTTAGAGAGCTGCATTGCGTATGGATTAGTAAGGTTATTTTATCTGCTAATTTCTCACTCATTCTCCTGCTACCCTGAGGTCCTTCTGCAGCCCTTCGCAGACAGGTTTAGGTTTGACTGTCTTGAGCAGTTCTGAAGCACCCACAAACACCTCCTTGCGAGGTGTTAGCAGCGAGGCCGCCCGGCTCGGCCGCGACGGCGTGCGAGCGCAGGGCGTTCCCCCCAGCCCCGGCCCTGCTCTGAGCTCTCTGGTTGCGACCGCCCAGGTCAGTCGGGCGGCAGCCGGGGGGACGTTGCTGCTTAACACTGTGCAAGGTTTCAGGGTGCAGCCACGGAGGCAGAGATCCGTGTTCACAAAGACGATGGAGGTGCTTTCTTCAAATAAAAAGAGGTTTATTAGGATAACGAGAATGACATTGTGGTGTGGGTGTTGTACATCTATTGCAGCATTAAGAGAAACAACAGCAAGTACAAAATCCTCCAGAACTTCTATAGTCATTACCGTCACAGCCTATCTTGTCCATGCTACAGTTTTGTGTATCCAAAACTTCATTCCCACTTCTATGGCAGAAAATTCAAAAACTTTCATCTTTCCAGAAATAAACAAACCCAAAACAAAAAAAGGCAAAACAAAAAACCCAACTCAATTTGATATAAATAACTTGCACTGGACATTTTAAAACTTTCAGATTTTAATTACACATAAATAAATATATACAGATTTAGAACAGTTCAGTTTGGCCTGGTTCAAGTTCTGCTCCTTGTGCTTTAGTAATCATTAATTCTAGAAACTTGTGTGCTGTGAGCTGTAGGTTGTGAAGTTTTAGTTAGTCCTGGGTTTAACTTAACCTGCTTTATCCCCAGCTGCGGCCAGGAAGGCTCCCTCGGTCGGT